CAGAATTGTTACTCAGGGACACAGAATCGTTACTTTCTGCTTCACAACCACTATTGAATTAAAGAGTATGTCAGACAACACGCAGAGGAGTGGCAGAGGAGGCAATGTTTCAGGAGCGAGCAGACGTGGCAGCAGAGGAAGGGGTCGAGGCAGCACTAGTCGCAGCCAGAGAGGCCAGTGCTCCGGTGTCATCCAGCGGTCGTGTCTCCACCGACAACCCTGCCGTCATCGATTGGTTGACTCGGTCGTCTTCCTCTTCCCACTGACACCTACAGCCAACGGTCGGTGGGTACGTCAGACACAAACGTTAGTTGGCATGGCCCGGGAGCAAGCCCACTGAAATCACGTGTCCTCTACCTGCCCCTGTCCTTTGGTGTTCCCTCACCAAGCGAAGTATCGCATGCTGTGGGCTCAGCCCCACTGTACAGTGAGGAAGAGCTAACAGAGGGCGGTCAGGAACGGGGGGGAGACATCCGCCTCTTCAGCAGCCAGGCGAAGAAGTACTGGCGAGGAGAGTGGCTCGGTAGCCGGTCTAGAGACAGGTCTGTCTCCTGACCCACACGCAGCCGAGGGGGCTAGTAGTGAGGCGGAGACCCTAATTGATGATGATGAGGCTGATCGCACTTGGCAGCCTCGTCGTCATCAGGCTATTGCTTCCGCATCATCAGGAGAAGAGGGTGGCAGCTTGGCAGCGAGCAAAACAGTCGGTGGGTTGCCCAGGAGGCAGCAGGGTCGCAGCAGTGTCAGTGGAGGCAAACGGCCACATGGAGTAGAGCACCAGCTCCACTGCAGCCTACCACCACGGCCAGTAGTGGTGCCGGTGTGCACGGAGGAAGTAGCAGTCAGCCAGTGAGGAGTAGCGGGGGCAAAGTTTCCTACTCGGCGGTGTGTGGCAATTTTTCGTCAAGCCGCCCGAGGAAGTAAACATAGCCGTATGTCGACTATGTGGGCAGAAAGTCAAGCGTGGCCAGGGGGGCCCCATGTTGGGACTACAGCGTTGCGTCAGCATATGCAGCGTCGCCATTCGGTGGCCTGGGGAAAAAAAACCGTGATAAAGATACGGCGGTTCTGCCTGCCCCAGCCCCCGCTCCATCACCCGCTCCGTTACTTGCTCCGTCACCTGACGTCAATCGCCCTCTATCAGCCAGTCAAGGCTCCAACACCTCTGCTGAGGGGAGTTGTTGCTCGTTGGCATCTTCCGCTCGTTCAGATGCTCCTTCTCCTGCTACTCCCTCTTCACGGATTCCGTCAGCAGTCTTTCTTGGAATCCGTTTCCAAGAGACAACAGTTTGCGAGCACGCACCCGACGGTGCAGAAGCTGAACGTCCTCCTGTCCAAGTTGCTGGTGCTGCAGTCCCTCCCTTTCCAAGTGGTGGACTCAGCACCTTTCCGAGAAATGATGGCTTGTGCCGAGCCGCGGTGGAGAGTGCCAAGCCGGCATTTCTTCGCCAAAAAGGCAGTGCCAGCCCTGCTTTCACATGTAGAAGAGATGGTGGGTCAGTCTTTGAGCATGTCGGTCTCTGCCAAAGTGCACGGCAGCGCCGACGTGTGGAGCTGTAACTACGGTCAGGGACAGTACATGTCATTTACGGTCCACTGGGTGAATGTGGTGCCGGCACAGCCGCACCAGCAACTTGGACAGGTCACGCCGCTTTTGCCTCCACGTTTGCACGTCCTTGGTCCAGCAAAGATGTCCGCCTCTACCACCTCTTCTTCCGCCGTGTCCTCAGCCGCCACCCCCGTGCCAAGTCCCATTACCCGATCGGCATATCACATGTGCAGGGCGCAACGGTGTCACGCTGTGCTGCACCTGGTATGCCTTGGCGAACGTAGTCACACAGGGGAGGAACTTCTGAGTGTAATGAACAGAGAAATCGACAGATGGCTGTCTCCGCGCAAACTGAAAATCGGAACCATGTTGACCGACAAACGGAAAGAACATGGTGTCTGCTCTGCGTCAAGGAAGGTTATGCCATGCGCCATGCATGGCTCACGTGTTCAATCTGGTTGTCAAGCGGTTCCTAAAATCCACCATCCCACTGCAAGACATCCTTAAAATGTCACGTAAACTTTGCATGCATTTCAGCCATTCCTACACCGCAAAGCACCCTCCTTGAGCTGCAGCGGCAGAACGGAATTCCACAGCATCGCCTGATCTGCGACGTTGCAACAAGGTGGAATTCAACCCTTACATATGTTAGACCGCCTTTACGAACAGCGAAAGGCCATCACCGATTTCCTGATGTTACAAGCGGATAAAGGTACTCCCCTGTGTAACTTAGATGTCAGCCATTGGCAGCTCATGCGTGACACCTGCCGCTTGCTCAGGCCCTTTGAGGAGGCCACGCTATTCGTGAGTCGGCAGGACTATGGGATGAACGACGTCATTCCTCTGTTTCACGTCCTGGAACAAATGCTGTTAACAATGGCTGGTCAGGGTGCGGTAGACGTGGCGCACAGATCTCAACGCCACATGACCCCTGTGGGGGCAGGACAGGAAGAAGAGGAGGAGGTAGAGGAGGACATTGATGCTCAGGAATTATTGAGTGAAATGGGTGGTTTTTCCACTCAGCGGACAGGAGTGGAGGAGCAGGAGCATCTGGTAGAGGAGGAGGAGGAGGAGACAGAGGACCCAGACGCACCGTGGCAGTATGCTGTGGAGATGGAGGCAGGGAGTCCCTCGCATTCCTTGGCACAAATGGCCATAGCATGCTCGGTTGCTTGCGTAGCGACAGCCGAATAATAACCATCAGACAGAGGGATGACTTTTGGCTGTCCACCTTGTTGGACCCTCGCTACCGTTCAAAAATGGTGGCCTTTTTCACACCTGCTGAGAGGGAGGCCAAAATAAAGTACTATAAAAACCACCTATGTAGTCAGTTGGTCTCTGCCTTTCTGCGCCAACGTCCATCCTCAGACACTGTGGGCCCTGTGCGCTCGCGTTCCGCTGCCATGGCAGCAGGGGAGGGGTGGGGTGGTAGGAGCAGTGGCAGCTCCACCAGCAGCGGCTGCCTCAGTCTGCAGTCGATGATGAGTAGCTTTCTTCACCAGCGCAGTGAGGAAACTACTAACCAGCCGCAGCAGCAGCAGCAGCATCAGGTGGACCTGGAGCAGGACCTCAAACAACAGGCTTGGGCCTACTTGGACAGCACCGAGGTAGACAATCCCCTTGACTACTGGGCAACGAAACTTGACCTTTGGCCCCAACTAGCTGAATTTGCCCTTGAAAGGCTGTCATGCCCGGCCAGTAGCGTGGCATCGGAGCGCGTGTTTAGTGCGGCAGGAGGTATTGTAACTCCGCGGAGGACACGACTGTCCACCCCAAAGTGTGGAGAGACTCACGTTTGTGAAAATGAATCAGGCGTGGATTAGTCTGGATTTCAAACCACCAGTTCCTGACACAACTGACTAAATCCGCCATGAATCATGCCCCAAACATGTTATTATTTTTAACATAGGCCTCTGTATGGCCTTCAATTTAAGCTGCTTACGCTTCGCCACTCTGCCATGGGCCCCTGTACCGCCTCCTCTTGCTGCTGCCAGGTCCAGAGTGTGTCATGGGTCCCTGTACGGCCTCCCATTGCTGCTGACTTCATTGCCAGACTCTGCCATGTGCCACTTTCAGGTCTCCTTACACTGTTGTCGACTATCAAGAGTCCAATGGCAGAGTGGCGGAGCAGAAGCAGCTTCAATTGAAGGCCATACACAGGCCTAGGTTTAAAAGTCCCTCACAGTTAATTCCAATAACTCTACTCCTCCGTGCAATCTACTTACGAGACCCTGGGCAGGTCTGGGTCCAATTTGTGGTAGAGACTGGTTTTGTTCAGCCATGCTTGAGCGAGTAATAACAGGTCTGTGCTGCCCTTTGGTGTCTGGCTTAATGCGCACAACACTGAACGTCCCAGCGTTTGTCAACGATTTGCCGTTAAGTGATGCAAACCCGCTGAACCACGTTCATGAGGAGCCGGTACAGGGGGCCATGAATCAGTATGGACCTGGCAGCAGCGTGAGCAGACGACAGAGGCACATGGCGCAGGGTGGCGGTGTAGGCAGCATTATTCTGAAGCCATACACAGGCCTAGGTTAAAAAGCGGAAGCCGTCAGCAGCGTGAGCAGACGACAGAGACACATGGCGCAGGGTGGCGGTGGATGCAGCAGTATTCGGAAGCCAAACACAGGCCTCGGTTAAAAAGCGGAAGCCGTCAGCAGCGGTGAGCAGACGACAGAGGCACATGGCGCAGGGGTGGCGGTGGAGGCAGCAGCAATGGAAGGCCATACAGCACCCTATCACAAAATGGAACCCACCAACAGTGTAAGGAGACCTGAAAGTGGCACATGGCAGAGTCTGGCGATGAAGTCAGCAGCAATGGGAGGCCGTACAGGGACCCATGACACACTCTGGACCTGGCAGCAGCAAGAGGAGGCGGTACAGGGGCCCATGGCAGAGTGGCGAAGCGTAAGCAGCTTAAATTGAAGGCCATACAGAGGCCTATGTTAAAAAGTCCCCCCAGCAGCAGCGTGGGGAGACGGCTATTAGTCGTCTCCCCACGCTGCTGCTGGGGGGACTTTTTAACATAGGCCTCTGTATGGCCTTCAATTTTAGCTGCTTACGCTCCGCCACTCTGCCATGGGCCCCTGTACCGCCTCCTCATGTTGCTGCCAGGCCCGTAATCTGCCATGGGCCCCCGTACCGACTCCTCATGCTGCTTCCAGGCCCGTAATCTGTCATGGGCCCCTGTACCGCCTCCTCATGCTGCTGCCAGGTCCAGAGTGTGTCATGGGTCCCTGTACGGCCTCCCATTGCTGCTGTCTCCATCGCCACACTCTGCCATGTGCCACTTTCAGGTCTCCTCACACTGCTGGTGGGTTCCATTTTGTCATAGGGTGCTGTATGGCCTCCCATTGCTGCTGCCAGGCCCGTAATCTGCCATGGGCCCCCGTACCGACTCCTCATGCTGCTGCCAGGCCCGTAATCTGTCATGGGTCCCTGTACCGCCTCCTCATGCTGCTGCCAGGTCCAGAGTGTGTCATGGGTCCCTGTACGGCCTCCCATTGCTTCTGCTGTCTCCATCGCCACACTCTGCCATGTGCCACTTTCAGGTCTCCTCACACTGCTGGTGGGTTCCATTTTGTCATAGGGTGCTGTATGGCCTCCCATTGCTGCTGCCAGGCCCGTACTCTGCCATGGGCCCCCGTACCGACTCCTCATGCTGCTGCCAGGCCCGTAAATTGTGTCATGGGCCCCTGTACCGCCTCCTCATGCTGCTGCCAGCTCCAGAGTGTGTCATGGGTCCCTGTACGGCCTCCCCATTGCTGCTGTCTCCATCGCCACACTCTGCCATGTGCCACTTTCAGGTCTCCTCACACTGCTGGTGGGTTCCATTTTGTCATAGGGTGCTGTATGGCCTCCCATTGCTGCTGCCAGGCCCGTAAATCTGCCATGGGCCCCCGTACTGACTCCTCATGCTGCTGCCAGGCCCGTAATCTGTCATGGGCCCCCTGTACCGCCTCCTCATGCTGCTGCCCAGGTCCAGAGTGTGTCATGGGTCCCTGTACAGCCTCCCATTGCTGCTGTCTCCATGGCCACACTCTGCCATGTGCCACTTTCAGGTCTCCTCACACTGCTGGTGGGTTCCATTTTGTCATAGGGTGCTGTATGGCCTCCCATTGCTGCTGCCTCCACCGCCACACTGTGGCTCCACACTCTGGTTTTGGCCCCATGACTGCCCAAATGAGTGAAGTGTGCGGTGATTCTAAGATCGACGGCACTCATCTGCATGTCATACTGACTGACAGTATTATTTCTTTTTCCCCAGCAGACTCCAAGGGCATTTAAATTAAAGGTACAGTGTTCTGCACTAATATAAAGGCTCTCTGAAGCCTAGAAACACCCTTTTTACACATTAAATTCGCAGCGAATATATTCGCCTCGAATCAAATTTATTCCGCGAATTCGGCGAATCAGCCGAATCGAATTTTTGAATAATTCGCTCATCTCTAGCTATAAGCAAAAAAAGACCGACAATTTTGAAAAAAAAAAGCATTATTTTTAACTTTTTGCTATAAAACATATCCAGTGCAAACAATTAAAAAAATCTAATTTCTTCAGAAATTTAGGCCAAAAATGTATTCTGCTACAAGTCTTTGCTAAACAAAATCCCAGTACATGTAAATTAATTGGTTTACGTGAAAGTTATAGGTAAACTGGTACAACTTATGTAGGAAGATTTGTTTCATCTCTGTGTGTCACCTGAGGCCAGTCACTTCACTGGGTATATGTACGGGTTTACAACCACTTTAACCTATTTCATCTGGTAAATTAAATCATGATTTAAATAAAAAAAATCTATATATTTTAGAAAGATGTATGTATATATATTTATGGTATGGCCAGGTTAGTGACATTTTCTTGGAATTCACTTTGGTAAAATCTTGCTTTAGTGCCTCTGTATTCATTTGATATCTCTGATTATTCTCTCATGTGTATCTTTTTGATGTATTTACAATATCCTTAGAAAATATAGTTTTTATGGCTTTTTTCAAACTTTTCAGTCTTTTTTTGTTTATACAGTATAATAAAAAATAAAAAACCCAGTGGTGATTAAATATCATGAAAAGAAAGCTGTATTTGTATCTTTTTGATGTATTTACAATATCCTTAGACAATATAGTTTTTATGGGGTTTTTTCAAACTCTTCGGTCTTTTTTTGTTTATACAGTATAATAAAAAACTCAGTGGTAGTTAAATATCACGAAAAGAAAGCTGTATTTGTATCTTTCTTATGTATTTAGAATATCCTTAGAAAATATACTGTATTTTTCGCTCCATAAGACGCACCTGACCATAAGACGCGCCTAGGTTTTAGAGGAGAAAAACAAGAAAAAAAATATTCTGAACCAATGGACTGCAGACATAGTACAGGAAATGACCAGAGACTGCGGGCACAGTACAGGAGATGACCAGAGACTGTGGGCACTGTACAGGAGATGACCAGAGACTGTGGGCACTGTACAGGAGATGACCAGAGACTGCGGACACAGTACAGGAGATGACCAGAGACTGCGGACACAGTACAGGGAATGACCAGAGACTGCGGACACAGTACAGGAGATGACCAGAGACTGCGGACACAGTACAGGAGATGGACCAGAGACTGCACACACAGTACAGGAGATGACCAGAGACTGCGGACACAGTACAGGAGATGACCAGAGACTGCAGATACAGTACAGGAGATGGACCAGAGACTGCACACACAGTACAGGGGATGTCCAGAGACTGCGGACACAGTACAGGAGATGACCAGAGACTGCGGACACAGTACAGGAGATGACCAGAGACTGCGGACACAGTACAGGAGATGACCAGAGACTGCGGACACAGTACAGCAGACGACCAGAGACTGCGGACACAGTACAGGAGATGACCAGAGACTGCGGACACAGTACAGGGGATGACCAGAGGCTGCGGACACAGTACAGGAGATGACCAGAGACTGCGGACACAGTATAGGAGATGACCAGAGGCTGCGGACACAGTACAGGAGATGACCAGAGACTGCGGACACAGTACAGGAGATGACCAGAGACTGCGGACACAGTACAGGAGATGACCAGAGACTGCGGACACAGTACAGGAGATGACCAGAGACTGCGGACACAGTACAGGAGATGACCAGAGACTGTGGACAGTACAGGGGATGTCCAGAGACTGCGGACACAGTACAGGAGATGACCAGAGACTGCGGACACAGTACAGCAGACGATCAGAGACTGCGGACACAGTACAGGGGATGACCAGAGGCTGCGGACACAGTACAGGAGATGACCAGAGACTGCGGACACAGTATAGGAGATGACCAGAGGCTGCGGACACAGTACAGGAGATGACCAGAGGCTGCGGACACAGTACAGGAGATGACCAGAGACTGCGGACACAGTACAGGAGATGACCAGAGACTGTGGACAGTACAGGGGATGACCAGAGACTGCGGACACAGTACAGGAGATGACCAGAGACTGCGGACACAGTACAGGAGATGACCAGAGACTGCGCATACAGTACAGGAGATGACCAGAGACTGCAGACAGTACAGGGGATGATCAAGAGACTGCAGACAGTACAGGAGATGACCAGAGACTGCGGACAGTACAGGGGATGACCAAAGACTGCAGACAGTGCAGGGGATGACCAAGAGACTGCAGACAGTACAGGAGATGACCAGAGACTGTGGACCTTTAGGGAGGGAGAGGGAGCGGGTTCCTGAATTTGACAGGTTCCTGCTCCCAATTCCGCGAAGCTGTCCTCCCTTCACTGTGGGCACAGGCTGTGACAGCCGGGTGCCCACTGTGCATGCGCAAGAAGTGCTGCACTTTGTGAATGGCCCGCATCTTCTGGGACCTGTCATGTGTCCCAGAAGACGCAGGACTATTCACAAAGAGCAGTGCTTCTCGCGCATGCGCAGTGGGCACCCTGCTGTCACAGATGCTGGTGCGGGAAGAAGCCGGCGCGGGAAGACTGTACAGCGCTGGACCAAGGAACAGGCAAGGTCCTGCAGCAGAGAACAGCTGAGCAGCCGGCCCAGTATGCTGACATGGTGGTGGCGGAAATACCAGACCGGCCGCTTTATATTCGCTCCATAAGACGCACTGACATTTTTCCCCCTTTTTTGGGTGGAAAAAAGTGCATCTTATTGAGTGAAAAATACGGTAGTTTTTATGTTTTATTTCAAACTTTTCAGTCTTCTTTTTTGTTTATACAGTATGATAAAAAATTTAAAAAAACAGTGGTAAGTAAATATCACAAGAAAGAAAGCTGTATTTATGTGGAATTTTTTTTTATAAATTTAATTTGCATATAGTGTTGCATGACCGCACAATTGCCAGTAAAAGTAGCAAAAATGCCCTTGTCACGAAGGGGATAAAACCTTCTGGAGTGGTTAATGGTGATCTACAAGAAAAAAAAAATGTTTGTCCTTTGATTGTATTTTGCATACAGAGTATTCAACGTGTAACAATATCAAGCAAATGAAACACTATTTAGTAAATTGCTGTAATTCAGTGCTGAACACATTACTTTGGCTGTGAGGCAAAAGAGCCATTGAAATAGAATCACCATTATAACCTAAATAATAAGCAAAAGAGAGCCATTGCTTCTGGTGCTTTAAACAAAAGACAAACACATTGATCTGGAAGCAATTGTAACAAAGACTGTTATACTAGTAATAGCTTACTTAATGAAGTCTATAGATAATAGTTCTGTGTTTCATCGGTTAACGACTCACAAAATGTCTTTCTAACTCACGAAGAGGAAAAGAAACCCTTCCCTTAGACAAGCAATGGCCTGTAAGGGGATTATTAAAACACTGCAAAATGTTTTGTCCATATCAGAATATTTTCTGCCAAATGCAAACTCGACATATTCAAAGAGGTACTGGGAATTTCTAGACATGTGTGTGCTGTCGGATGAAGGAAAATGCCAAAAAAAGCTCAATAGCTCTAGCAATAAGATGTGCAATAAGATGTGCTGAGATGGTGGCCTGGAGTTGAGATACTGTCCTAATTCAGACATTAAAAAGTGTTGAAACCATAGAAACAGCTCAATAGCTCTAGCAAGGCAATTGTCACACAGCAAGGTTTCCCTCGATGGGCACCCAACAGTAGTCCAAACCATAGAACTAGAGAAAGGAGTACCAGATCAAAACTGCATCAAAGAGCCCAGGACAATTTTAATTGTTGGTATAAAAGTAATAAAAAAATTACTTTTTTCAAGCAACAAATAAAATAATCTTGGACTCTTTTATCCAGTTGTGGTCTGGCGTTCCTTTCTCTATTTCTATGGTTGGGGCTACTGTTGGGTGCCCATCGAGGGAAACCTTGCTGTGTGACAATTGCCACTTGCTAGAGCTATTGAGCTATTTCTATGGTTTCAGCACTTATTAATGTCTGAATTGGGGCAGTATCTCAACTCAAGGCCACCATCTCAGCACATCTTATTGGTACTGGCATGGGGGGGCAAATGCCCCCAAGCTTAGTTTCCTTCTGATTAACTTTGAGACTTGCACATGTAGTCAAATGAAGGAAAACGTCAAGCAAGCTTAAAGTGTTATTAAATCCACAACAGTAAAATCAGTCTGTATATGCAGTAAAGTGTGCTTGTTATACTCACTGTGTAACCTAAGGGGTTATTACTCCGCATTGTATAAAAAGGCTGTTTGATCTTGTCTTCTCTGATCCACCCCTTCTTCCACAGTCCCCGATCCACCTGCTGATAGAACAGAGCCTTGGGGGCAAGCTGCACATGCTCTTTGTTTTATATTGCTAGAGAGTTTTTTTTCTTCTTGGGAGAATGCATGTGATCAGCACAGGGCCAATCAGCACTGTCCAAACAGAGGGTCAGGGGTCCTGCAGCCTCATAGGACAATCAGGAGAGAATGAAAACCCCTTCTACAAGCTTTAACCAGTGCTTGGCTGGACAGTGATAGAAAATACAAGACTGCTATATACTGCTGATGAGAAAAGCTATTTAGCAGTTTATATTTATCAAAATAATTGCATTTCTATGTTCTGTGTACTGTGGGAGACCACATATAGTGAATGCAGGGTCATGGGTTTAGTAACACTTTAATAGCTTTGGCGAGGTAGCTTCAATGCAGCAAGGCTTCCCACAATAGGCACCCAACAGTAGCTCAAACCATAAACATACTGGAAGGAGCAAAAAACTAAAACCGTATGTAGGAAACAAAGATTATTTTAATTGTTGGTAAAAAAAATTACATAAAACCAGCCAACACGTTTTTAATTCTCTAATTCTTCTAGTACACATTTCAGTAGTTAAATGGGTTTATTTCAGAAGCCTGGTCAGTTTTGTTTTTCATTTTAGGAGTTAATTGTACTTGTTCTAGTACCTAATTAGTTCTATTTCAGCCGCTTGATTTTTCAGTATTTTTTTTTTTTTTGCACTTTTCCTTTTTGATGCAGTTTAATATATTTCTATATTATTTATCTACTTTATTTGATGTTTTATTATGTATATTGTTTTTAGCATTCTCTAATTCAATCGAGACAACTCAAGATTATTGCTATTATGTGATGTTCTAAATTTTGTGGTATATGCCTATCTAGACTTATTTTTTTATTATTATTATGTTTTATGTTCATTCTTGGATGTTGGCTGTTTTTATATACATTTTTTATTACCAAGAATGAAAATGATATGGGACTCTTTCATTCGGTTTTGGTCAGGCACCCCTTTCTGAAGGCATAACTTTTTTTCTTTAATTTTGAATAGAGTATAGGAAGGTTATCAGTTGTCAGTTTTTTGCCATCTTTGTCTCATTGGGGACATTTCTCTTCACTTCCTGTCCCATAGGCCAATCAGGAATTGTGAAGAAATCTGTTCAAAATGAGGGAATTCCTGGTTTTCATCAGAACTAGTGTCTCCAATGATTTCTCTTCTGTGCCTGTTCTGATGTGCTTTCAAAGTTTGGGATTTCACCTTCACGTGTAATAACGGTCAAATAGAGAGGGTGAATCCTCTTAATGGGGACTCATACAGCAATACAATCCTGATAGGAGTTATAATCTTTATCCACACTATTCAAAACAAGAAAAAGTTTTGCCATCAGCTATACTTTAATTGAAACTCTACTTTTATTAGAGTAAACCAAATCCTGTCCACGGTACAAGGTTTTTATGCAGGCCATAGATGGGGAGAAAAACGGCCGATTTTTCGTCCGAAAATAAAACCGGCCGATTATCTTATCGTTAGTGGACGATTTTGTCGGCCGTTTTTTTTCGTGTATTTTGGACTTTCAGATTATCGGTGATGTTGGAAAATTTTCGAAAAACGCCCGACTTTATCCTCATTGATGGTCAAAAACGAACGATCGTTTTCCGAAAAAGGATCACAAAGGCCACAAAATGACATCATTTCCCGTTATAGGTTACTCATTAATCGGCCGATTTTCGTAATAATTGGTGGTCAGGTAAGTTTTTTAGACCGACCGATAGTTCGTTAATCGGCCGAAAATCTGCCGTTTTTCTCCCCATCTATGGCCTGCATTAGTTAACTGCAGATTCTTACCTGTAACTCTAATTACTAAAATTTCATTTAAAGCTGAACTCCACTCCCAGATAAATCAGATACATATTCCTCAATAGCTACAAAGGATTCAAAACTATTTTGTTTCCAACAAACACTTAGATATTGCCATGCAACAATATCTGTGGCATCATCACTGTGTTGTAATTAGTCTGAGCAGA